AGCAAAGAAGTGCCATTACCGATGATTTCTTTATTCGAATTTGTATAAAAATGAGCTGTTTTAAATGATTACCGAGCCCCTGGCGACCAACGACACCATTTGCATCAGCGCGACGAACATCAGGAACGCTGCCATCCTGGAGGAGCAGCATCGGGAACACTGCCATCTTGGAGGAGCACCATAAGCTGGACTGCTTCGTCGTTTCATATTCTTTTTGACGGAAGCACGAGACGCTGTTTCTTTTCCAACCATTCCATTAGTACGCCGTTCTTCCAGCACCTCCATTCGTAAAATGTAGCGAAAGCTCTTAACTAAAGACCAGGAGGTAGATCTTTTATACACAGCAAAATCAGTACCAGGGGATTATGCTTTCCTATCATATGATGTAATTGAACAGTAGCGGTGGCATAGTCTGGTTGCGATGCAACGAGAGCATAAATAGACAAAGGCAAATTCAGAGACAGAGGGGGGAGGAAGAACAAATGCCAAGGGATAAATTCTTTTTTTTTCGAGTGAATCAGCGTTTTAATATGTGATGACATTCCTATACAGGACTGGAAAGGTAGTTTGAGCATATAGAGCAGCAGAAGACAGGTCTCATTTACAGTTGTGGGGAGCGTATTCCTCATCACAAGCATTGGAGGGGAGGGCACATGGGCTTAAAACCAGAATTCCGACAAATTTCAAGCACAAACACTCCTACTGATTCCGACGCGTTGTAATCCCTGATACTCTCCTCCGCTCTATGCTAATTAGGTTTCCTGCCAATCTTCGACTGAGGGCAGACGCGAAATTAGGGATATTAATCCTGATATATATAAAAAACAAATATATGTGTATATATAAAATACAAAGAAGTATAAAGTATAAAGAATATATATACATAAAATATATATACAGCTGTATATATATGTGTATATATGTATATATATATACAATAACATTAAAAACTGAATATCCTTTGCTTCTGTGCTGTGGGATGGAAAGCTGGGAGAACGGGTGCATCACAGGTTGCGATTGAAAATATCACAGTGAGGTTAAGAGGAAGCAACTGTCACTGTTACACCAGTACTGAAAATTGTCACACATTCACTCAAATACGTTTTTTTTTTGCAAAATGACCCGGTTAGCAAGCCCGCCAGGCTATCGATAAATGCATTTTTGTGCTAAATTTGAAGCAGTCATATCATTAAAAGTAGTGGTTGTTGTTTCAGTGTTTGACGTGGATACTTATATTGGCAATGTTTTGCTCTTTCTCTGCAAAAGGGGGAAAAGAACGTCAACCGGGGCGAAAATGTTGTGTCGTGGGGCTGCATGTATTCTTAGCGAGTACCGTGAATTACGCATAAAGTGTTGTCAGCAAGGCGCACTCTCGAATTTGCCGTTTCCATTCATGAAACTTGGGCATCTATAAAAGCTGGTTTTGGGGCCCAGTGGCTCACAAGATGCGCCAGCATTCTCGTAAAATTTCTGCTTTCTTCGACCATCGAGAGAGAAAGACGAAAAAAGTGTCACAGCCCGAACGTTTGATGCGCCCGTTATTGGAGCACATGCAAAGGCAGAAGATGGCTTTACGTTTAAAGGCTTTCACACGGAACGTAGACATTCTCACTAAGCCGACTGTAGCATCCATGTTGTTAGGGGTACCAAAGTAAGAAAGGTGTATGAGCAGAGGGGAAAATAGTAGGAAAAAACAACTGAGTTAGGACGTTTCGGTCATTAAGTCATATACGTCTTAGCTCAACACCACGACTGGACCTCGTCAATATGACGGTTGTGGTTTTTAGGGATGAGAAGGAGAGAATGTGAGAGAGAGAAGGAAAAAAGGTGAAAAAAGAAAGAGGGAAAAAGGAAGAGAAAGAATTGGGTTTATTAATTGCAAATTTAGAGTGGCTGGGACAGATAAAAAACGTTGCAAGACAAAAATAGAACCTCGATGGACGTTCTGTGGCTGGTGTGGCTGCGGACTAAATTTGATGTTACAAGATTGTAATTTCAATTTACAATCCTGTAAAATCAAATTTATTCCACAGGTAAGCCGATGTTCCACGCGGACACCTGAAATTTTTGTTGGGAATTTTAAATACGTTAACTACTTTTAAGCTGCATAAATTTGGACATCCGAAATGCTTTTATTTGCTTAAAATGCTCCCTCACGAATTTCATCTTGGAACAAAACAATGGGACAATTGATTGATCGAAATATTGATAGTTCTAACTGGAAAATGAGAACCGGACGAAGTGATCAGTAGTGTTACTCTTAATCAAAAAATCAGTTCTACTAGTGAGACAACCAATCCCTCTACGATTCGTTCATTTCGTTTCGATGGTAAATTGGCGTTGTGCA